TGATAACCCCCCTCCCACACACACACGAACACACGACATGTAACTGTCAAAACAAACCACAAGGTATACTCATCTGCACCATGACCATCCCCCGTTGACGTCAATATTACCGAAAAGTCCTGTCTTAAAACATTATCATATTCTGTCCACAAGCAAAACAACAATTATCATTCTAAAGAGTACGAAAACTAAACAGTATGACTGATAGTATGCGGGTCATCGTAGTGAAACCAGGCGCTCGTCAAAATTATGAAACCAAAGAAATCTCATATTTCACGCTCGTTGGGCAATTTCTATGATGTTTTCGCGGCTCAACACATATTTTGTCCTTTTCAAAACATAATATTTCTATTCAGATTTTACTGGAAATTTCAATAAAAGGCCCGACAGATGTAAATTTTCAATTTCCAAGGACACTCAGTTTTAGGAAGTCATAAAGCTTTTACGGCCATTTTGTAGCTAATATTTTACATTTGACACCAAGTGACCCCCATTTCTTTCCAAAGAGTAAATATCCCGGCTTCTATCCAAAATAGGTGACTATTTTTTCCAATTAAAAGCAAGATAAACGAACAAGCTTTAAAGTGGTACCAATAACTCCATATACCCCCCCAGGAAAAAAAATTCAGCGAGCGCCTGATTCCACCGCGTCGTGACATATCGATATGATAAAGTCTGTGTAAATCTATATCGCGTTCACACACAAATGATTTATATATAATCCTTCACGACGGAGAACAATATAGGTCTGAAATAATCCTCAGCACAGGAAAGAATAAGCTTTACACTACACCTTGCTTGAAAGTTTGTCGGTAGCTTTGCCTGTGTCCCTGTAGTATGCTTAGATCAGGAACAAGGCAATATCTTAATACCTTGGCCCATTGTGCTTTTGTTGGGAGCGGAAAGTTGGCAACGGAGGCAAACTATGGCCGTCAAAAGGTTAGCAGTTCCGTGGCGGGGTGGTTTTTATTACGCGTTGAAGTGGAGGTCGTTTAGTGCCACGAGCGAGTTATTCTGTTTACTACGAACTGTGTATTTTGTCGATCTCTCTCCCCCCCTCTCTCTCTCTCTGTCTCTCTT